AATCCCCAACCTATAACAAACAAGTAAATGGCACACTACAGCAGATACTAAGCAAACAAGAGTTATGACCAATATGCACTAGAAGCTCATAACTTATTTGATGGGCAGTTAAGAAACAATGCAAGACTCACAATAGATTATCTTATTTACACCATCCATCTGCTATATACATGAATAGTTATACTTTGAAATTCGGGTCCTGAACACCAAGAATGAACCCTGTTCCTATATTTTCACTTTAGAATACAAAACAATGAAATCCTAATTCCAAATTGATATCCTACCCCCAATACCAAGTATCACAATGCCCTTGACATCAAAATCAAAGTCTACGTTAGTGACAATAGCATTAACAAACCATTGACTGCACTATTATTTAATTTTATATGTTTTAGTATACAGTGTGCAGATTTTACTATTATCTGAAACCTGAACCAGATTAAGGGCACATTAATCTTATTACTAGTAACTAGCGTTGTGAATTTGTGATTTGCACTTTAGATCTTTAATCTAATGGAAACCTTGTTAAATTTTTATCGAGACTCGAGAGTACTAATATGACAAGATTTGAAACTGAGAAAATTGACAGAAGAAAGAGATGGAAATTTAAGATCTGTAATTGCAGCATGACAACAGAATGAAAATTGCTTCTTAATTGACTATTACGCATGGGAAGGTCTAGGCTATAAGATTTCTTTTAGTTAATTGTTTGTTGCAGTGACACTAGAATGAAAGAACTTATGCATCAAATAAGAGAACCAATATTACAGAGTTTAATATGGAGTATCTAAATTACAGAGTCATGGTTATATTTTGCTCAAGCCTGTGGTCGGAGGCAGTATTCTTTTACTGGACACTTTTTCTGGTTCAATTAAATTTGATGAATGAGAGTCTTTCCTTTTGAAGTATTCAATGAACCTAATCTTTAGCTTTAGTTAGGATAGTAACCCATGCAAGAGTGAGTGCAAGACTTGTATCTGCATAATGCATAACTCCTGAACCCATGCCATTGAGTTTACAGGCTTCAGAATTTTCAATACACAAGCAAGAAATCATGCATGCAGACATAATGTCACTGGGAAGGAAATATTACTTTAACTTTCAACTCAGCAACTTCTGTTTCATCGCACACTTCTGTGATCAGGGCCTGACAGAAAACAAAAATAAACCTCATACTTCACCCCACACCAAAACTGTTAATGCAAGACATGCTACTGCAAAACCAAAAACCAACAAATAACAAACCTCAAAGCCATCAGGAAATGTTGCTTTAAATGGTGGATTCTTCTCAGCTGGCTTTTTTTGGTCACTATCTGTCAGAATAGTTCCTTGGGGTAAATGTAGAATTAAAGAAGTATCAAATAACTTGTTATTGCTAATAAGTATAGACATCAAGAAGTTCTCCCCCATTGAAGTTATAATCATGAAAAGATACATAAAAAAGAATGCAAGTCCAAGCTCAAATAAGAGTTTTTAAATAAACCGGCCTTTAGGGAACAAGGTTTCAGCCAGCGGTGATGAAGGGGGTAAATAAATTAGGGTATAACCATACTGAGAATGGCAGGTAATTTAAAGCTAAAAGAGAGTTAATATTGTTGATACTTCATATAAAATTAGAAGAGTTGACAGGAAATCACTGACCATTGGATATTGCTGATACATTAGTTTCAGAGACCTTTGCACATGATGCTACTAGTCTTCTATTCTTGTTGACTGAAGAAATGAGCTTATTACCAAATGGCAAGCTACACTGATATGAGAAGGAAGCATTTTTCATGGAAACCAAGCTAGGCATTTCCCAGACTGACTTCAGAGGAGAAGTGGTACCAACAGAATCTGCGAAATGCAAACTTTTAAATCACCAGCATAGTGATAATGAGTTTAAGATAATTTGACTAGCCCTTCAAAATCAGATTTACAAGACTATTGGCAGATTGTTTCTTGAAGCCCAAACAGACCTCACAAATGGGAGAGTCGAATTGCTAACATAGAACTATAGAAGTGCTTTGGTATTCACTGAATAAGACAAGTAAATACATTCAGAGAACATGAAACAGAGGCATTCCATGCTTTTCCAACTCAATTCCACACTACCTAATTTCATTACATCAAGATTATGACATGCCAAAATGCAGCAGGATGCTCACAACCACCTTGCCTTCCAAAACCGAAACACCGATCTAAGTTTACTTAGAAGAATAAAATTGACAGCAGAAATAATCCAAAATTTAATTTTAAAACTGAATAAACCGGCGCTACTTAGATCTGAGATGATAAAACGTAATGTAAAAGTGGCTTATTACGAATTATGGAAAATACGGAGCAATAAATTAGAGAATTCAATCTCAGGATCAGTTCACACGACATCATATTTCCTTTATTCCGTAAATGGAAACTTCACATACATAAATGAACATGCGCTTAACATGTAAACACATATACATACAAATATATAATACGTAGACACAAATACAGAGAGAGAGAGAGAGAGAGAGAGAGAGAGAGAGAGATAGTTACGGTGGAAGGAGCGGAAAACAGCGGCAGACTCCATCGGCGTAGAAGTGAACGGCGATCGCTGAGAAATTAGAGAAATGAGGTTGGAAGAAGAGAGAGAAAGAAAAAGTTATTTATAGTTCTGAGAGAGCTGAGAGAAAGGGATGATTGAATTCACAGTTGGTAGTGAGTGAGTGCTTCGAAGTGTCCGCCGCTCAACCCCACCCCCATCAGTTTCTTCACCTACGCTTGCAGCCCATTTCTTCTGCTACTTGCTAAGATACGCTCGTCTTGACTATCTTGCGCCACTTCCTCGCCTTAATTCTTTGTAAATCAAAATATTTTACAAACTCTACTCAATTTGAGATGCTAATTTATAGTAAGTGATGAAATATGGTGCCTAAGTGCAATTCTATATCTACTCTCATTTTATACTTCTAATTTTTACTCTTTAACACGTGACATGCTTTGATTACTTAATATAAAAGGGGTCATACTTTTTATCTATTATTACAAAATACTTTATCTATAGTTCTAAGAGTAAAAGTTATGAGTAAATTTTTGGAATAAATTACTATTTTTGGATGCATAAAGCTGGCCCAATCCATCATCAGAGGCACACTTTACTGTGCATTATAGTCCAATGTAACAACATGAACCATAAAGTAAAACAATGTGTTTAATTTAATTAAAAAAATTATTACTGTTGTATGAACTCTGGTTTTAATTTCATTGTTCACAAATTAGTTTCATTATAGTAAGTTGAAATATTATTTTAATTACACTTCATGTCTATGCTATCCAATTTTATTTTATACACACAATATATTCATTATAACAATATTAAAATATCATTTTGGGATAAGGGTCAAATAGACCCTTCAACTATAGGCCAAAGTGCAATTAGGCCCTTAAACTAACAAAAGCTTCAATTAGACCCTTTATCTTTTCATTTTTGTGCAATTAGGTTAATTAGAAGGTTACATTAAAGTTGCAGGTAATTTTTTTTAAAAAATAAAAATAAAATAATATCTTTTTTTAATTCAAATAAAAAATAAAATAATAAAGAAATTAAAAAAAAAAAAAAAACAGGCTTCTCCGTCAAACTAGACGGAGAAGTCGGCGGAGAAACTGCCATGGCTGGCTTCTCCGGCCAGTTGACGGAGAAGCCGACCATGGCTTCTTCGCCCAGTTGACGGAGAAGCCGGTCATGGCTTCTCCGTCAAACTGGACGGAAAAGTCGGCCATGGCTCTCCGTCAAACTGGACAGAGATACCAGACATGGCTTCTCCGTCCAGTTTGACGGAGAAGTCGGCCATGGATTCTAAGCCCAGTTGACGGAGAAGTCGGCCATGGCTCTCCGTCAAACTGGACGGAGAAGCTGGCAATGGCTTCTCAGTCCAGTCGACGGAGAATGGGCCGGCTTCTCCGTCAAACTGGACGTAATTTGTTTGTTTGTTTTTTTTTTTTTTTTTTTTTTTTTAGTTTTAATTTTAGTTTTAGTTTTTTTAAAAAAAAAAAAAAATCAATTTGACCTACTATTACCTTATGTTTACCTTCAAATTAAGCTAATTGCACAAATTTAGAAAGTTATGGACTTAATTGCATACAAGTAAAAAGATGAAGGGGTTAATTGGAGCTTTTGTTAATTCAAGGGGCTAATTGCACTTTGTCTTATAGTTGAAGGGCCTATTTGACCCTTATCCCTATCATTTTAGTATACTACAAGTTCATTTGACAATATGTACATTTCTATGAGCTTTACTATTTAGTTTATTTTATACACATAATAAATTCATTATGGTAATACTAAAGCATAATTTTAATTATACTACATTTTCATTCGATAATATATAATGCATACTTTTATAGTTTAAGGTACGTAAGTTTATAGGTTAAGGTGTGTATACTTAAAACTTATTGTGCATCATTTTCTAGTTTAAGATGCATAAATTTATAATTTAAGGTGCGTAGGTTTATAGCTTAAGGTGCATATGCTTAAAGCTTAAGGTATGTAAGTTTATAGTTTAAGGTGCGTATGTTTAAAGTTTAAGGTGCGTAAGTTTATAACTTAAAGGTGCGTAAATATATAACTTAAGGTGTGTATGTTTAAAACTTAATGTGCGTATTTTTAAAATTTATGGTGCGTCACTTTCTAGTTTAAGGTGTATTAGTTTAACTTTTGAGGTACGTATGTTTAAAGTTTAATGTGCATTATTTTGCAGTTTAAAATGCATAAGTTCAAAGTTTAAGATGCGTCAGTTCGAAACACTTCATTGTTTACATCCATATTGTCGAGAAGCATTTATATATATATATATATATATATATATATTAATTTCATTCAGTTTGAATTGAACTGATATTAGATCAACGACTCAGATCTCCATTCCATTTTTCACATGGGAGAAGCTTCTCACGTGATTATATGAACCATCCCAAGGACTAAATAATTTACATAATACTCCGTATTTAATTTGATCCTAATAATTATCATATGAAATTATCCAGATTTACTTACGTGAGCAGGGACACGATAATGTAGTGAATACTGGCGCCAAAACCTATGGTGATCGAACAATCGTTGACGGCGGAGGAGGACGAGACGGGGAAGGTACGGAAGAAACATATGAGTAATCGGATTTGTGTATTTAGGTGAAGCGGATCAAGTTCCGACAAGGAACATGAGCTTATTTTGAAGAATTTCAGGAAGCGATGCTTATTTCTCTGGCCTGCAAAGTGTTTCTCGGTAATCTACCGTACATATCTAGAAGGTTTACTTCTGATCTTATTTGTTTGTGTATCTATTGCATTCTTATCGGTGAAGTGCATAGTAGCCTCTAAATTTTGGGATGTTCTCCTTAAGATTAATCACCTTATGATTAAGATATATGTGTTTTAAACTGTATTCACATATTAATCTGAAATCTGTTACAGATTATCTTTTGATAAAAAGAGTGCCACAATAAATTTTATATGGTTTTGCTTTTGAATGATCTATTCTTCAAATCATATTGCAGATGATACAAAAATTGATGAAATCAACAAGAATGTATATAGTTATACAGAGTCTTTCTTGAAGCCTTTGAGATAATCTTATATGCAAATACTATTGAATGTTATCTTGCATACTTTTTTACATACAATATAAAATTTATTAGATGGGATTGATTCAAATTTTGGCAAGTATGCATCAAATCTAGAGTCTACATACTTGAGCAGAACAAAAAGCTGCACTGAAATGTCAATTTTGCGAGCATAATAAGCTGCATTATGATCTAATGAGATTAAAAAGTATTGGCCAATTCCATTTCTTTTTGCAATTTGACAAGATGGTCATCTACCATCCCTAAATACTCACACAGGTGAATCCAAGGTATACTAGTTACAGTCTGTCCCCAAAAGCATAAACACTATCAGCTAACCAGAGTATATGGATGTCATTCTCATGATTAATGGCTTGTCAGAAGAGGGCTAAAAGAATCAAACTTTAAAGGAAATAGTAATATGGGGTCACATATTGGTCTTTGCCCATATGGTGGCATTTCAATGACATTAAGAAAGTCAATTTTCATGACTATAGATTCTTTAACACAGTTAAGAAATGCTCATGTGCTGCTCTCCATCCTCTCTTGCAACTTCCTTTTAGTCTTCTCAAGGGCTTCTTCTAAACTCTGCATCTGGCATATGAGTGTGCATTTCAGTGCTGTTCAACTTTTTTTTTTGTTTCTGGGTTTAAATTTGGATAATAAATGACATATTTACAGAAAAATTTGGAGACAGTTGTTTACCTGCTGCCTGGCAAACCTGTTATGAATGAACAGCCCGCTAAACAGATCAAAGCTGTCTTTTACAGTGCTCTCCTTCTGCAAGTAATTCAAGTATATATATAATGCATATACTAGCTTCTCTTCTCCATGAGAAAAGGTTTTATAATGCCCTGTTTGGTAACATAGTTAGCTTATCAGTTAATTTTTTGACTACTATTAACTGTTTGACTTAGTTAAACATTAAATGCAAGTGTTTGATTAATTAGCTTTTTGTAACAACTTAAGGCTCCAAAATGTTAAAATTCAAAAAGCTGCTCAAGGTAGTTTTTTCAATCAGCTTTTTGAAAAAGTCATTTTGCATATAAAATCAACAATCTTTCTACAATAAGTTAATGCTATCAACTACTCAAACCTACTAAACCAATAAGCTAACAGCTAACAGCTAACATTTGTCCGTTTAATTCATCATATGCAAAATGGTGTTGGTCTTGGATTGGACACACCTACCACCTCAAAGAGCTTCTGAAATCCCTTTGTGTCCAGGGGTGTTGGCTCAACATCCATTTCTGATAGGATCCTGTGTTGAAGAAAGAAATTCACTCATTATTTTAGCCCTCTATAACTTTTAATTTGTTTAGCCCTCTATAACTTTTAGTTTACCTCCCAATTGTGTGAGTTAGAAATTGAGTTCGAGCAGCCAATTTATCATGTTCCTCACAACTCATTTCCAGCATCCTGCAACCCTGTAAAGACCATTATTGCTTAGAATACTTTACAATTGAGCTTTTCTTAGAGAATTTAGAAACCCCGGGTGCCTACCTCACTAGAAAAGATATGTATGAAACTGTAGCATAGAGCTTCATCTCTTATTCGAACTCTGTCATACATAAAGCTCAGATCTTGCCAACCATGTTTCCCACTTTCTGGGCCGAACATCGGGTGAGTACAAAGCAAGTCCATGTTCTCAGGAAGTACCTTACACATACAAGACATAAAACAAGCAGGTTATGGGCATGAAACAGAAGTCCATCCATGTGATAAAAAATGGTTGAATTTGCAAGCATACCTGCAGAAGGAGGTCTCTGGGGAATTCTTTTACTGAGAGGACATCTACAAAGAGCGTAGGCCGTTTCAGGGAATTGAATGGCATTGGCTTCACTACTTGTGATAGAGACAGGATTGATGTGCATATCAATACAACTTCATTGTCTGATTCAAGAAATGCACTCATATCCCTGTGTGAAAACACAATTAGTCAATAACATTCAACTTGAAAATGCTTCCTGTGCAGAGGCAGATAGATACCTGTAAAATGGAATGCCAAGTTGTTTGCAAAGTTGAGAATGATCTGATCTTGAGGTTGCTCTCAAGGAATGACCCTGTTTTATCATGGTTTTTGACAGGAACTGCGCGAAATTGCCGAATCCAATTATGCCAATTTTCAAAGGTCTGGCTGAGGAAGAAGAACAAGTAGACATGATGATGTTGAGCTTGAGCGTGGGTGAAGGAGAGAAGAGACAGGTATGCTATGTTTGACAAGGTTTTAAGGATTAAAGGCGTAAAGCCTTAAAGACGCCAGCCCTAAACGGAAATGAGGAAGAAAGAAACGTGTATTCTACTACTGCCAAGAAGAAGTAGGAAGTGGAAGTGGAAGTGTGGAGCCCATATATATGTAATAACGTTTTTGAGAAAATTAGCGTCTGAATAGAATTTGATCAAAACTTAATTGGATTAGTTTCATTTAAATAGGTAATAATTTGACATTTGGATGTTGATTTTGGTTGACTTGGGTGACGCATTATTATTTTCTAAGTTCTACGAAATTCTTGTGTATTGTAATTATATCATGTGGCTTCGCTGGGTCTTACGTGTATTTTTTACCAGATGCCGAAGGGAAGGACGATTAATTAATTAATGTACCTAACTTTTAGGTTCTGTCATCCACTCATCTGCCGTAGACTAGGGTCGACATAAGTTGTGTGGACTATGGCCCTGTTTGGTAAAATGACTGTTAGCTGATAGTTGTTTGCTGTTAGCTGATTGTGTTAATTAGAGGGTATAAATTGTTGATAACATTAGCTGATTGTGGAAAAGTGTTTGGTAAATTAGCGGTCTGTTTAATATAATTTCTTTTCTCAAAAAGCTAATTGAAAAAGTTGCTAGTAGTAGCTTTTTTAATTTTAGCCTTTTAGAGTTGCAAAAAGCTAACTAACCAAACATTTATATTGATATTTTAACTAAATCAAACAATTAATAGTGGTCAAATAAGCCAAAATTGGCCTATAGGCCAATTTTTTACCAAACAGGGCCTATATTTTGTTTACTGTAAACTAATGTATATTCAGTATAAAAAGAATATATATTCAGTACAAAAATAATGTACATTATATTCAGGGGATATACATTATTTTATATACATTATTTTTGTTTTCAGTGTACATTATATTGTATAATGTACATTTAGGCCATGTTTAGTTATTGGCGGATCCGCCGTTTTTGACGGTTTGACATGGTCAAACCGCCAAAAAAAATCATTTGATTAGCAGCGGTTTGCTCCAAACCGCTGCTTTTGCAAACGCTGCACTTTGCAGCGTTTATAGTTGGTGTTTTGGGGAAAATTAAATTTTCCCCAAAATACCCTTGTTTATATTAAAAAAAAAAAAAAAAAAACTTATTGAGGAGCCGAATTAGCTCCTTAATTTGAGGAGCCGTTTGGCTCCTCAATGTTGCCCATCTGGGATGGGCAACAAATTTGTGGAGCCTTGAGGCTCCTTAAAGGCTCCATTCCCACTTTTCCCACCGATGTGGGACGGTGGGAAAAGTGGGAATACAAGAGGGGAGCAGCTTGTGCTGCTGCTCCCTTCTTTTGTTTTTTTGTTTTTTTTTTTTTTTAAATTATTATTATTATTATTATGAATTATAAATTATAAATTATAATGTATACCCTTATGGTCATTTTACATGTTAACCGCTAATCTAAACAGCTAATTTTGCCAAACACTTTTTTATAAATCGCTAATACAATCTGCTGGTTAAACCTGCTAATATAATCCGCTATCTAATAACCGCTAACACAACCCGCTACCGCTGACCGCTAACCGCTGATAACCAAACAAGCCCTTAATATTAAAAATGTACTTTTCTTTATGGTCCACATAACATTGTGTGGACCAGGGTCCCGGAGCAACTGACCTTCCGTATGACCTTCTCCATCCCTCTGGGCGACCTGGATGGTCCAATTACGGGGCTGATGAACGAGGAAGATTACGTCCGCTACCAGGAGACGTACCCGGACGACGAAGAACTGATCGTGCCACCACTCATGCCGGCCTTCTGGGACTCGCTTTGCCCATCCCCTCGTGGACCATCGGGAGGGTTCTTTGGGAGCGACTCCTCTTCGCCGGGCGAGTGATCACGTAGGCCGGGGTTGGCCTTATATTCTAGAGGGGTAGTCTTCTAGGAGCATTTGCTTACTCTCGCTGTAATAAGCTCCATGTAACCTACACCTCCTCTTATTATAATAAAACACCCTTTGCATTCTGCTTCTTCTTTCGTATTGCTAGTGCACTCGTTCGCCTGAATGGTTGAGGAGTCGGCCATCATGTCGAGTCCTTCCTTCGTTTGACACCTGTAAGGCATTCCGCCTCCCAGGGCGAGTCAGGCTTTTCAGTCTAGCGTGCGAATCTCGCCCTTCCCGAGCTGATTTGATGGGATTAATCTCTGACAAAGATTCGCACCGCCCACACGTCAGTTATGATTCCCTCCGTGATTTGCGCCTGGGTTATCGCCCCTTCAAGGCTCTATATAAGGGCTCTTGGTGGCTCTATGTTTCTCATCATTCCTCATTCCAAAACTTCACGCCATGAGCTTCAGAGACGGTGATCGCCGCTGGTCTATTCGCAACAAGGAGCACGCCCGGCTGGAGGAGCTCCGGCAGAAAAGGGCGGCTAATGGAGGGCACTTGGTGGGCGACTCCACCTCTGACCCTATCGTGGTGCCTCCCGACATGCTTGACCTGATGATCGTAGAGCCAGATGACGCCGAGATGGAACCTGTGGTGGAGGACCCGGAACCGGAGGAGGACATAGAGTGGGAGGCTCCTCCTCTTTTTGGCATAGCTATGTCACCGAGTGCTCTGGAAAGGCCCCTGCGGATGGTAGTTGATGGGAAGCCCGCAGTGTATCTGGATGAACTGCCCGAGCCCGAGCCTGAGCCGAGTCCTTTGCCCTTCCATCCCCACTACTTCCTGGAGGGTCCGCAGCCGGTGCGTCATGCGGAGGAGAAAGAAGCTAAGCCCTAGGCCCGTCTTTTCTTTGTAATGCGTGTGGCCGAGTCCTCGGCCTTGTACTCCCTGTTTCATGGAATAAAAATCATGTTTTTATGTTCGACTCTTGGTTTCGCATGTCTTTTGGCCGACCCCTCGTTATCATGACCGGCTCTTAGAATTTGTCCGACTGATCCCCTTAAGCGAGGGACTCGCCGAATCCATCGGCCGACCTCGCGACCAGAAGCTTGTCCGGGCCCTTCAGTTGGCCGGACCCAGCCGGGTCTTTTCTAGAAACTTCCAGCATGATCTTGGTGGGCCCCCATGGCTTCGGCCTTGATGGGCTTACGGCTTAGCAGGCCGGGTCACAGCTATCCAGCCCCGGTCTAGGGTAGACGCGCCGCTTGCAGGCTAGCCTTAGACCTGAACCGTCGCCCCGTCTATCGAGGCATTAAATGCAGCGTCCTTTCGATGTCTTGTCGCCTCCGATTCCTCCACTGAGGAGGCGACGCGTGGCGGCTTCCCGGGCTTCCCCTTTCTTTTAAATGACTCCTCTCCTCTACTTTTCTTCTTCAAGTTTCCACCCAAGCTTCTTTGCTCTTTCATCGTTTTCCCAGTCTCAACTCAGATCTGTAAGTAATGTCTTCCTCCTCTTATTCTTCTTCTACCCGCCGTCAGTCTTTTGACAATCCGGCGGGGACCTCGCCGTCGTCCTCTTCTTCTTCTTCTGTTGTCCGCCGTCTGGAAATGCCGGCAGGCTTCCAGGCGGTGTCTTCTTCTTCTTTTCCAACCCCTTCTTCTTCTGGGGCGGCCACTCCGATGAGCCCAGCCCCGCTAACCACGGTGGCGGCTCTGCCGGACGGCGTCGAACGGCCGCGAGGCAAATTCGACTCGATAGTCAGACCGTCTGGTCTCCCGTCGAGTGCCACGGCAGCGGACCTTGATATGGCCCGTTTTTTGCTTAGCCCTTCGGCCATGGTTGTCGTGGCGGAGGATCGGCCCATCCATAACCCACCGGAGGGTTTTGTGGGCATTCACCTGCATTCGGTCGCATTCGGCTTCCGAGTGCCTCCTCACCCATTTCTTTCACTTCTTTTCCGGCACTATAACCTGGTCCCGGGCCAGTTAGTGCCCAATTCGCACCACCTTCTTACCAGCTTCATTAACCTCTGCCATTGGTGGCAGTGCGAGCCGGATCTAGACTTGTTCCGGTTCCTCTTTACCGTGAACAAAGTCGGCTCTCACTCGCCTGGCTTCATTCAAGTCGCCGCCCCGGACTTCGAGGGGTTATCCGACTCGATCAAAGAGTGGAAGCCTCTTTACTTTTTCGTCCGACCCCGCTCTTCTTCCTTCTCTTTTCCGACCCTGTGGCCGGCGACTCTCTTCAAGCCTTGCTCTCGGCGCGCCGTCTTTACGGAAGATGCTGTCCAAGGCGGCGAGTTCTTGAAGAGCCTGGGGCCGTACTCGGTCAAGTATTGGTCCCGGGTCCGGGCCATGGCCAAGCATGGCCTACTGCCGGAGGGCGCGGCCACCATAGGTAGCGTCTTTTTTTTACCCCGTTCTCAACTCGCTCCTACTTCTTTATTTGTCATTTTAACCCGAAGCGCTCACAACTATGCGGTTTTCTTGCAGGTCCGTACGATTCTGACTCCTCCAGCTCCGACGAGGCCGTTGCACCGACTCCAGAGATGGCGGACAGGGCTGAAAAAATGAGGCATCGCTTGACGCAGCGTTCCACCGGTGCCGCCGCCGCTTCTTCCTCTCAGCCGTCGCCGGCGATTCGGCCGACTCCTCCACCCTCTCACAACGTGGTCGATCTTACGCCATCGCCCGTGGTGTCGCCCACTCGGCAGCCACCTCCTCCTTCGACTGAAAGCCCAAGCTCCAAGCGCCCTGCCGAGCACACGGAGGGGCCGACTCCGAAGAAGATCCAGCTGTGCCACGAGGTGGATGCCGATGCCCAAATCTGGATGGGCGCCGCCTCGGTCCGCAAGTGGTGCGCCGACGTTCTCCTGCCTAATGACGTGGCGGCGACGCAAGCTTTGGGGGACGGGTATATCCTCGAGGCCTCGCTTCGCCAATCTTACCGCGTAAGTGTCACTGACTCGGCTCCCATTCTCTGCTCTTTCTTTTCCTTGTCTGACTCGTGACAACTGCGCAGAACCTCACCTTTCAGATGGAGATGGGCAAGCGGCTCCAGAACTTTAGGACCGAGATGCGGTCCACGGTTCTCAAACTGCGCCAAACAGAGGAGGCTTTCCTGGAAGAGCAGGCGAAGCACCTCAAGATGGTGGAGGTGCACAACTCCGAGCTGCTGAGGGTTACCCGTCAATGGGAGGAGGAAAGGGATAAGGTGGCAACGATCGCCGCGACCTCCGTCG